TTTTAAGGAGGTTTCGCTATCTTGCTTGTTCCAGCTACTATCAGTTTTCTTTTCTGCTACCCATATTTTTATTTTCTAAGAGCTCTTTGGTTTTTACAATCTTCCGGTTTTTAAAAAGAAATCTTGTTTTTGTTTCATGGACATAGTATTTTCTTTTACTTTTCTGAGGATACTAATAATAGTCTTTTTTCCTTCCCTCTGTGCATAGTCTGTTTTTTCTAAGTTGCTTCTTCCAGTTATTTGTTTTGGTTTCTCTCTTCCATTCTCAGGTGTCTACTAGTCTTTAATTTTCTGCTCCTAATTAACATTATGGAACTAAGTTGGTAATTGAAAGCTCTGAGCAAATTAGTAGACCTTATCAATTTTGAATTTCACTGTTGGGTGACTTTCATAGTCTTTTATTGGAGAATCCCTGATGTCCCTGTATGTAGCTCTTGCCTCTAGTGCTGGTTTAGATGGCCCAGAGAGGCCTTTTTCAGCATCCTACTTGGAGCATGAAGGTCCAGCTGGTGGTATTCTGGTGGCTGAGTGGTGGAAGCAGGCTGCAGTTAGCGTACATGCTCTTTCTCAGGCTGGTTTCGAACTCCTGACCTCGAGCAATCCGCCCGCCTTGGCTTCCCAGAGTGCTAGGATTACAGGCGTGAGCCACCGCTCCCGGCCTCTTTAGTGTATTTTTAAGAGGATTTCAGTAGGGATCAAAATTAGATGTCACCTTAATCCAAAAACGGCTGTGAGAAACAGTATATAAAGTTTTTTTATTTTTTTATTTTTATTTTTTTTTCTTTTCTTTTTCTCATTTGATGTGATCACTTAATATATAAAGTTTTAAATGAATATTTTGTGTCTTTTATTTGGATTAATTATTTTTTTAAAATATGTATAATTTTTTTTCTTACTCACTTATTCTCCCAAATATCTGGTCATGGTGTTCATTGTGCCATTTTCTTGACATTTTGCTATTGAGGTGGTAGCATGGAAACCTTTGTCAGCAAGGTCATTATAAATGGTGAGGTAATTGTAATCACATTTTGGGTTGAGATTTAATGCTGTATTGTCATTGTAAGTGAAAATTCAGTCACACTGCCTAGGGAGCCTGGCGCTTGTACTTTCTATAGACATTCAGCAGTTAACAGACCATGTCACTCAGTCTCAGATACCATCCTGAAAGGAGCTCATAGTCATCAGGATTGCTGGGAACAAATGAGGAAGTAAGTGAAATTGAGTCCATGCTCCAGTTCTCCCATTCCTGCCTTTCCTCACCCTTTTTGGATCTTCCTTCTCACTGCCTCTTTCTCTGTGCTGTCCTTTTTGGCCAGATAGAGACCAAAGGAGCTTTGTCCAGGTGTAGAAAAGCCTTGACATCTTTAAGGTTTATTACACAGTAATCAGTGGTCTAGGCCTTAATTTTAGAGTCTTGTAAGTAGAACTATAGAACTATTAGATGATGGTTTAGTAATAATAGACAAAAACAACATTTATGGAGCTCTTAATGTGTGCCTCACAGTGTCCTAAGCATTTTATGTATCTTTTTTCATAATCTCCCCAACAATCTAGTAATGAAGGCACTATTTTTGTCTGCATTTTATAGATGAAGAGACTAAAGCTCAGAGAGGTTAAGTAACTTGACCTTGGACTTGCCCAAGACCCTATGGCAGTTAGGATGTGGAACCTGGAATTTTTTTCAGAACCTGTTTTATTTTTATTTTTATTTATTTATTTGAGACAGAGTCTTACTCTGTAGCCTGAACTAGAGTGCCATGGGGTCAGCCTAGCTCACAGCAACCTCAAACTCCTGAGCTCAAGTGATCCTGCTGCCTTAGCCTCCTGAGTAGCTGGAGGCATGTGCTACCATGCCCGGCTAATTTTTTCTATATATTTTTAGTTGTCCAGCTAGTTTCTTTCTAATTTTAGTAGAGACGGGGTCTTGCTCTTGCTCAGGCTGATCTCGAACTCCTGAACTCAAACGATCTGCCTGCCTTGGCGTCCCAGAGTGCTAGGGTTAAGGCGTGAGCCACTGTGCCTGGCCTCAGAACCTGTTTTATAAGAATATTTCCTTCCTTCCCTCCTTCCTTCCCTCCTTCCCTCCTTCCTTCCTTCCTTCCCTCCTTCTTCCCTTTCCCACAGAGTCTCACTCTGTTGTCCGGGCTAGAGTGCTGAGGTGTTAGCATAGCTCACAGCAACCTCAAACTCCTGGGCTCAAGTGATCCTCTTGCCTCAGCTTCCCGAATAGCTGGTACTACAGGCATGCGCCCACCATGCCTGGCTAATTTTTTCTATATATTTTTAGTTGGCCAATTAATTTGTTTCTATTTTTAATAGAGACGGGGGTCTCTCTCTTGCTCAGGCTGGTTTTGAACTCCTGACCTTGAGTGATCTGCCTGCCTTGGACTCCCAGAGTGCTAGGATTACAGGCGTGAGCCACCGTGCCCAGCCTATTTTCCATACCTAATTTTATACTGCAGTGTAGCTTTCAAACCATCATGTTGAGAACTCTGTAACTTGCATTATTTTAGCTGTTAAAAACCAATGCTTATAATTTGGGGAGAAAGATACTGTAATGGCTTTTGTTATATCTGCACTGGATATTTCTGAGATCTTTTAAAATTTGAAATAAGGGCATTTTTAGAAAATAAAAACTAAATTAAGTGGCATTTCAGAAAAGTTCTACTTCCTGATGTATTAGTATGTAAAACAACACTCCAAGGGAGCAAAGTATATATATATTACTTTGTAGTTAACTAAATGCAAACCTTTGAAATCACATGACTCAAAGGACTTTTTAAGTATCTGTGGGTGAAATTTTTTGGAGACAGGGTCTCACTGTGTCCCCTGGGCTAGAGTGCAGTGATGTCATCATAGCTCGCTGTAGCCTCTAACACTCGGGCTCA